CACCACACCCAGCTATTTTTTGTATTTTTAGTAGAGACGGGGTTTCACCATGTTGGCCAGGAGGGTCTCAATCTCTTGACCTCATGATCTGCCTATGTCAGCCTCCCAAAGTGCTGGGATTATAGGCATGAACCACAGTGTCCAGCCTTCTTCCAATTTTTTGAATTCAAGACAGGCATGTTTTGTAATCACCTCTAGCCTTCTAGTTTATTTGCTCACATATCCTCACTTCTTTCTTTTTTTTTTTTTCCCCATTTTTGAGACAGTGTCTCACGCTGTTGCCCAGTCTGGAGTGCTGTGGTATGATCATGGCTCACTGTAGCTTACACCTCCCAGGTTTAAGCAATCCTCCCACCTCAGCCTCTTCAGCGAGTAGCTAGGAATATAAGTGCGGGCCACCATGTCTGGCTCACATTTTGTTGTATTTTTTTGTAGAGATGAGGCTTTACCATGTTGTCCAGGCTGGTCTTCAACTCCTTAGCTCAAGTGATCCACCTCTGTCAGCCTCCCAAAGTGTTGGGATTATAGGTGTGAGCCACCACGCCCATCCTCATGTATCCTCACGTCTTTCACCTTATGGGGACCTCTAAACCATTGCCCCTACCAGTTTTTCACCATCCATCAACTCTTTTGTGTTTGCTCCCCATCTTACCCAATTTATATCTACGATCTAACACATAATCACTCATGAAAATATTATAAAATTCCGGCCAGGCGCGGTGGCTCACGCCTATAATCCCAGCACTTTGGGAGGCTGAGGCAGGTGGATCACGAGGTCAAGAGATTGAGACCATCCTGGTCAACAAGGTGAAACACCGTCTCTACTAAAAATACAAAAATTAGCTGGGCATGGTGGCGTGCGCCTGTAGTCCCAGCTACTCGGGAGGCTGAGGCAGGAGAATTGCTTGAACCCAGGAGGCGGAGGTTGCCATGAGCCAAGATCACGCCATTGCACTCCAGCCTGGGTAACAAGAGTGAAACTCTGTCTCAAAACAAAAAAAAAAAAACAAAACAAAAAGAAAATATTATAAAATTCCTTCTTCCTCTTTTTAGTAACCCCCCATCCCCAGTTAATTTAAATTATTCATCTACTTGGATCTTTTTATCCAACTAGTTACTTCAAGGCTATTAGAGGAAAAAAATTCACGATGATCCTCACCAATCACACTTTACTGGGACCCATTTTATTCCTCTCCTCCCCGGGACCGTTGGCAATGTGTGGAGACATTTTTGTCACACTTAGGTGTAGGGTAGGGTGCATCTAATAGACAGAAGTCAGGGATGCTCCTAAATATTTTTTTTTCAATTTTGATCTTCTCTGTTCCTAAATATTCTAAAATGCACAGGACAACAGAGAATTATCTGGCCCAAAATGGCAATAGAGATAGCAGTTGGAAAAATGTCAAATGTCAGCAGTGCCAAGATTGAGAAATTCTGCTTTAAATTAATTACTACAAGCCTCAAAGGGGTAATCAACACAAGGCTTTTGGACTTGCTGTTCTTTCTGCCTATAATATGCTTCCCTCGTGGCTTATTATTATTATTATTTGTTTGTTTGAGATAGAGTTTCGCTCTTGTCACCCTGGCCTGGCAGGAGTACAATGGCAAGATCTCGGCTCACAGCAACCTCCGCCTCCCAGGTTCAAGCAATTCTCTACTCTTCAGCCTCTGGAGTAGCTGGGATTACAGGTGTGCGCCACCACACCTGGCTAATTTTTAAAATAGTTTTAGTAGAGATGGGGTTTCACCATGTTGGCCAGGCTAGTCTGGAAGTCCTGACCTCTGGTGATCCATCCGCCTCAGCCTCCCAAAGTGCTGGGATTACAGGCATGAGTCACCACGCCCAGCCTCTGGATTATTATTTAACAATCATTTCCTCAAAAAGTTCTCTCTGACCTCATCCTAGCATAGACTCACCCTCATCACATTACACTGTTTTATTGCCTTCAAAATATGCACCGTTTTGTTTATCTCTTTATTGTCTGCTTCCTTCTAGAAAATATTACGTGAGTTCAGTCTCCTTATCCGTTTTGTTCCCTGCTGTATCTCCAGGTTCAACTATAGTGCCTGGTCCTTTTTTTTTTTTTTTTTTTTAAGAGACAGGATCTCCCTCTGTTGCCCAGGCTGGGGTGCAGTGGCAGGATCATAGCTCACTGCTGCCTTGAACTTCTGGGCTTAAGTGATCTTCTCACCTCAGCTTCCTGAGTAGCTAGGACTAGAGACATGACCACTGTGCCTGGCCATGTTTGGCACATTATAGACACTTAGAAAATATTTGTTGAGGGCTGGGCAGGGTGGCTGTCACCTGTAATTCCAGATCTTTGGGAGGCCGAGGTAGGCAGATCACTTGAGGTCAGGAGTTCAAGACCAGCGTGGCCAGCATGGTGAAATCCCGTCTCTACTAAAAATATTTTTAAAAATTAGGTGGGTGTGATGGCAAGTACCTGTAATCCCAGCTACTTGAGAGGCTGAGGCATGAGAATTGCTTGAACCTGAGAAGCAGAGGTTGTGGTGAGCCGAGATCACGCCACTGCACTCCAGCCTGGGTGACAGAGCTAGATTTCGTCTCAAAAAAAAAAAATTGTTGAAAAGTGAATGAAAATATTGTTTATTTGCAATTTATTCATTCATTAATTCCTGAAATATTTATTGGTGATAAAATCCAGACACATCTCTATCCTCTTGGAATATACAGTACAGTGGATATTGACACTGAATAAATAAGCACATAAAGTAAATACAGTATTTTCAAACTGTGATAAGAGCTTTGAAAGAAAAGTATTGGTAGCCATGAGAGCATTATGCAGATGATCTGACCCAGTCTGGGGTGGGGTGGTCAGGCCAGACTTTCTAAAAGAAGTGATATTTGAGGAATAGCTGAAGGATGAGTTGGTTAGCTGGATAGAGGAAGGCGGGTGGGAGTGAATGGAGAAGAGCTTCCAGAAGCAGAGGACAGACTGTGCAAAGGAACTCCAGTGAATAGGAACAGAGAGATGGCCAGTGTGGCTGAGGCAGTCAGGTCAGCCATGGTGTGGCACTTACTGGCAAGAACATGAGTGTCACTGAAAGATTTTAAACAGAAAATGACAAAACTCTGAGTGGATTAGAAGAGGTAATTCCAGAGAATAGATCAATTTCAATTGATCAGTTGAAATAATTCACTACCTTCAGACCAGCTGAGATTTGATCAGTAATTTGATCTTTTTTTTTTTTTGAGATAGAGTTTCACTCTTGTCGCCCAGGCTGGAGTGCAGTGGCGTGATCTTGGTTCACTGCAGTCTCTGTTTCTCGGGTTCAAGCAATTCTCCTGCTTCAGCCTCCAGAGTAGCTGGGATTACAGGCATGTGCCAACACGCCCAGCTAATTTTGTATTTTTAGTAGAGACAGGGGTTTCTCCTTGTTGGTCAGGCTGGTCTTGAACCTCAGGTGATCCACTCCCACTCAGACTCCCAAAGTGCTGGGATTACAGGCGTAATCCACTGTGCCCAGGCAGGAACTTCTTGTTCTACTTCCACCCCCTTCTCACTACTGTGCCTGACTAGTCTCTTAAAATAATTTTTAAAAGGCTAGGTGTGGTGGCTCACACCTGTAATCCCAGCACTTTGGGAGGCTGAGTCGGGTGGATGACCTGACATCAGGAGTTCGAAACCAGCCTGGCCAACATGGTGAAACCCCATCTCTACTAAAAATACAAAAATTAGCTGGGCGTGGTGGTGGGTGCCTGTAATCCCAACTACTCAGAAGGCTGCAGCAGGAGAATCCCTTGAACCTAGGAGGTGGAGGTTGCTGTTGATCGTTTCATCGCACTCCAGCGTGGGTGACAAGAGTGAAACTGTCTCAAAAAGAAAAAAAAAGAGTTCATGAAAGTCTTCAGTTTATACAAAAGCAGGTCAGTTAGTGTAGCATAAGGGGCCCTTTAATATGTTTAGCGAATAAACGAAGGAAAGACAGAGAAATGTTTGAGATGGCAGAACCAAGATTAAAAAAAATGTGAGAGTCGAGGTAAAAAATGGAGAGAGGAAAATGAACTGTGAGAGAGCCAGAATAAGCTGGGTATGTGAGTCTGAGAAGTGTGAGGAGGTTGGAGGGTAGGAAGATTGGGAGAAAATTGGGCAGAGTGGGTGGAGAAAGTGCAGTGTGCACCTAAGAAAAGACTAATTTCTGATGCTGGACTCCAAGGAGACTGGAGACAAGGCGAAAAGGTAAACGAAAAGACAAGGAGTGGGCTGGGCGCGGTGGCTGACGCGTGGAATCCTGCACTTTAGGAGGAGGGAGAGGCATCGGCTTGAGCTCAGGGGTTGGCGACCAGCCTGAGCAACATGGTGAAACCCCTTCTCTACCAAAAGTCCGAAAACGTTAGCTGGGCGTGGTGGTGCCACCTGTGGTCCCAGCTCCTGCGGACACTGAGGCGGGGTGATCGCTTGAGCAGCGAGGTGGAGGCTGCAGTGAGCCGAGATCGCATCTCTGCACTCCAGCCGGGGTGACACGCTGGGACCCCCCCTCTCCAACGAACAACAAAAGGGACACGGACTGAAATAGAAAGACGCAATGCAGGAAAGGCAGGAAGGGGAGATGACCAAAGATGACAGGGGAAGGAGCAGGGCATGGAAGGGGTGCCAGGAGGATGGAGGGAGCAGTGCTTTGGGGAGAGAGAGCAGGACTGCAGGGTGAGGGCCCACGGATGACCAGCTTAGAGAACCACGTTAGAGAGGACAGAACAGTGAGGGCGTGAAAGAGTGCACAGCAATAGGCAGTCCGCGCCCAGGCCCGGGAGGGAAAGAGAAATGGGCGAGTGGCTGGGGGAGGGGTGGGAAAGGTGGAGGACAGATCTGAAAAGACTCCAAGGGAGGGGAACGATGGGTGTGGCCAAGACTCTGACCTAGACCTCACCCTGCTCCCCACCCTCGGCCGCTTCGGTCCCAGTGGTTTCTTCCTCCAGTTAGGAGCCTTGACGCCGGAGGGGATAGTGGTAGGTGGGGAGGATGAGTGCAGAGGGTTCAGGCTGGGAGTCATGTCGGGTTGGAATGGGGGCTGTTGGGGAGCCACGCTCAAAAGCCGGGTTTCTGTAGCGGGGCAGTCAGAGAACCGGGACAGTGAAGGGGATGCTGAAGGGGGCGACTCTCAGGGATCGAGACAGGGACCCCGCAGGTGGGATCGACCAGGGAGACAGAAAAAAAGAGAGCAGCGGGTGGAGGCGAAAGCAGGGCCCAGCAGAGAGTACTTTGGACAGAACCCGGACGCGGGGCACCCCGCAGCGTCCCAGACGCACCTGTTGGGAAGAAAGTAAGGGACATCCCGGTGTTCGAGGAAATCCAGTCCTGAGGGGCTGACTCTGACTCTTGGGATTCGGAGCCACCACCTCCTCCCTAGCGGCGGCCAAAACCCGGCAAGTGAGGGGGCGTGACCCTGGTGCTCAGGTTTCTTCCTCCTCACCTGGGCAAGGAGGGGTGGGGGCCGCGACTTCCGGTTCAGGTGAGTGTCCCTTCGGTGACGTCAGGTCACCCTCGGCCGCCCCTCCGGTCTCGCCTCCCCCTGCCGCGCTCCCGTTGCCAGCAGGCCGCGCCCCCGACGCCCTACATATACTCAGGTACGTCCCACCTGTCCGCCTGCACCTGCCGGCTCACCTCCGAGCCGCCTCTGCCGCGCAGCGCAGCCTCGGCGGACAGCTCAGGAAACTTTGGGACTTGCCGGAGCCCGGAACCGCGCCCAGACGGCCCCTCCACCTTTTGTTTGGCTAGGGTCGCCGAGAGCGCCGGAGGGAACCGCCTGGCCTTCGGGGACCGCTTTTGTCTGGAACCATCTCCCGGCGTAGCCTGTTCCTCTCTGCCGCGAGGCCATCGCGTCACTGGGGGGGTTGATTTGTGTGTCTTCGGTGACAAGATTTGCATTCACCTGGCCCAAACTCTTTTTGTCTTTTTGGGTGACTTGAAAACTCCACCTTAAGTTTTCCTTTGTGGAGCTGCCCCCCCAAGTGTCGTCTGTTTTACTGTAGAGTCTCCTGCCCGGCGCCCCCAGTGTTTTCTGAGGGCGGAAATGGCCAATTCGGGCCTGCAGCTGCTGGGCTTCTCTATGGCTCTGCTGGGCTGGGTGGGTCTGGTGGCCTGCACCGCCATCCCACAGTGGCAGATGAGCTCGTATGCGGGCGACAACATCATCACGGCCCAGGCCATGTACAAGGGGCTGTGGATGGACTGCGTCACGCAGAGCACTGGGATGATGAGCTGCAAAATGTACGACTCGGTGCTCGCCTTGTCCGGTAAGGCCACGGGCCCGACGGGGCGGACGCGCCCCGTACCCAGGTGGATGGGGTGTCGCTCGTGGTAGGGCCGAGGCCCCACGGCTGGGCGCTCTGGGTTGTCGGGCAGCTGCGGGGCGAGGAAGTGGTCGGGTGGGGGCGGCGGGGCTGGGCATGAGCGGGCTGGGGTTCTGGCTGCACGTGGCGCGCACCTCGGCCGCCCGCGGTCCTCTTCCGTCCCCAACACAGCCTCCTACCCGGCGTGGAGCATTGGTGCTTAGGCCAGGGCCTTCCCCTCTCCGATCCCTGGGCAGTCTACTGCCTCCGTCACCTCCCGCCCTTTTCTCAAAAACGGGCCAGGGGGCGCCGAGGGCCACAGGGCGGTGCGGCTGTTCCCAGTGGGCCGCCGCCTGCGGCCTCCAATCTTATCGGCCGATTAGCCGAAGCCACAAACCCGGTGGCCTCGATAGCGGGCTCAGAGCGAGGACGCCGGCCGGCTTGTGCGCTGCGCGGGGCTCGGGCCACCGTCTCCGCTGCATTTCGCTGCCCCCTTTCACCCTTCCCCCTATCCAGGGCAGTTTCACCGAAACCCTGGTGCCCCGGGCGGATCCTGGAGCCGAGAGGGCGGGGCGGGAGCAGGAAAGCCGCGCTGTCGGGAGGGGCGGGGACCTGCCCGCTGAGCCCAGGCCTTGGACACCTGGGGCCCCTGCGGTAGAGAAGGGCGCCGGCCAGTTGAGGTCCAGGGTTTAGTGGGCGCGGCCAGCGGCACGAAGGCTGGAGCTGCCTGAGGGCCACCCGCAATTTCCAGCAGTGACAGCGCCCCTTCCCGTCGCCCGCAGCGGCCATGCAGGCCACTCGAGCCCTAATGGTGGTCTCCCTGGTGCTGGGCTTCCTGGCCATGTTTGTGGCCACGATGGGCATGAAGTGCACGCGCTGTGGGGGAGACGACAAAGTGAAGAAGGCCCGTATAGCCATGGGTGGAGGCATAATTTTCGTCGTGGCAGGTGAGCCCCAGGATTCTTTCCCTTCTGGGAGGCAAAAGGCTGGGCAAGGTGCTGGTTTAGGGCCTCACCATACCCGAACCCTCATTCTCTCTCCAGGTCTTGCCGCCTTGGTAGCTTGTTCCTGGTATGGCCATCAGATTGTCACAGACTTTTATAACCCTTTGATTCCTACCAACATTAAGTAAGTCTGGGAGCTCTCCCTCCTAAGGGGACAGGTCTGGGGCCCTGGGATAGGGAGGGCAGAGGCAGGCCAGGGTTTCTAATCCCCTACCCGCTGCCTTCTCTTCGCAGGTATGAGTTTGGCCCTGCCATCTTTATTGGCTGGGCAGGGTCTGCCCTGGTCATCTTGGGAGGTGCACTGCTCTCCTGTTCCTGTCCTGGGAATGAGAGCAAGACTGGGTACCCTGCACCCCGCTCTTACCCTAAGCCCAACTCTGCCAAGGAGTACGTGTGACCTGGAATCTCCTCCTATGACCTGTGACCTCCTATCCCCAGCCTGACAGGCTATGGGTGTGTCTGGATGCCCTAAAGGGCCTGGGGCTAGGGTCAGCCTGTGGGCAGGGTGCAGGACAAAAGGCTCCTGGTCACTCCTGGTACTCCATGTACAGTCCTGTGGGGGGATTGGTAGGAGAGACAAAAAGAGGGAGAGTGTGCTTTTTGTACAGTAATAAAAAATACGTTTTGGGAAGTAGGCTTTTTTTCCTTCAGGGCCTCTGCTTTCCTCCCATCTGGATCCTTGCAGGGAGCTTGAAACCTTAAGTACACTGCAGTTCAGAAAACACAGAGAGCACCCCAGAGGCTTGCATGGCCATTCCTGGCCCCCACTGACTCCACTGACAATTGACTAAAAGAGGCAGGTACTTGTATCTCGACATTCATTCCTGCCCCCCTCTTAAATAGCTGCCACTATGTTTTTTAATTAAAAAAATATTTTATTAGGCATGGGGGTGTTCTACTGTCTCACGTTACCCCATGTCTTCATCCTACCTTCAGTCCTGATGAGACACTGCTTCCTGGCTCATGAGGTGGGGCTCCATAGACAAGGGGAACGAAGGTGGGGCAGGGATAAGGTAAGGCCAACACAAACAACAGAGATGGTTCTGGGCCCAAAGTCTTCCTGTGCCCCTTCCAATTACTGTCTAATAAAATTTGGCCAGTCAGATATCTAGGTCATCATCTGGGTCTTCTTGGTCCAGGTCATCATAAGCATCTGGCTCATAGAAGATGTGGCTGGTAGCCTGGCTTGGCCTAGGCCGCAGTAGAGCCTCCTGTCTGAGAAGGGAAGATTTGGTGCTGGTAAGGGTGGCTAACAGGTCCTGTCTCAATACTTTCTTCCAAGTGACTGTGACTCACTCAGGCAACCCCTCTTAGGCCTCTGTGTCATTTTCTTGGTCCAAGTCCCTTTCTCTGACCTCCAGATTAAAGCTAAAACACCACTCCATACTGGGATAGATATACTAGTACTGCTCCTGCTCTCCTAATAAGTTCCTAGCAGCTTGAGGGCAAGAATCTTGTAGTCTTGCTTCATCCACCACATACTGGGCACAGAACAGCAGGCATGTGCTAAGCCCTTGTTAACCAGCCTTTGCCACGCCCATATAGCTTTCTGTCCTCCTAGCACTGTTGCCTAGGGATAGGGCCACTTCCTAAGGGTCTGGTCTGACTCAGCCCAGGCCCAGGATGCTCTGGGGACAACTGGAGCTGTGACCCAAGGACCTTAGGGAGAGGTAAGAGACAGAAAGGCCCTCTGCCATTGTATGGGGTATATATGGTGGATAAAGAACTTGGACTTGTCTCTGGACTTCAGCCCCTATAAAGTCTGAGGTTAATCAATAACCTGCTGTCGCCCCACCTCTCCGCAGCCCAGATGCTGGGCTCTATGTATGGATCCACATACCCAAGTCCCAACCTTACTTTTCAGAGCTGAACTGGAAGGGCAGGGTCAGGCTATCTCTGGCTTCTCTCTCTTTCTTGGACAGGTGAAGGTTAAAGGTCAAATGAGCCATGGGATCCACCTGTAGGTACAAAGGATGCTGCCACTCTGCCCCATCCCCAGAATCCCTGACCCCACCCCCAACCTCTGTAGCTTTTATTCTCTCCCCGTTTACCAGACCCTAAAATAGGGTTCTGGCATTCTTAGATACCAGGGGTATATGAGGATCTGATTGGGGCTGGAACTCTTTGGAGGGTCCCTCTTGGAGATGCAGGCTGAAGTCTGGAAGGATGGAGAACCACTGAGTCTGGAGAGAAGAAAGAAAAGAATTTTTTTCATCTTATTGAAGAAACTAGAAAGGATCTAGCACTTCACATCTTCTGCCCCCAATCACCTATTTAACTGACTGCTTTCAGCCCATGCCCTCAACTTTTTCTTTACTTTTTTTTTTGAGACAGGTCTGGCTCTGTGGCCCAGGCTGGAGTGCAATGGCACCATCTTGGCTCACTGCAACCTCTGGTCTCCCAGGTTCCAGTGATTCTCCTCCCTCAGCCTCCTGAGTAGCTGGGATTATAGGCACATGCTACCACACCCAGCTAACTTTTGTATTTTTAGTAGAAATGGGGTTTTGCTACGTTGGCCAGCTGGTCTCGAACTCCTGACCTCAGGTGATCTGCCCACCTCGGCTTCCCAAAGTGCTGGGATTACAGGTGCGAGCCATCGTGCCCAGCCTCTATTTTATTTTCAAAAGTGAAAGCAAGTTTATTAAGGAAGTAAAGGAATAAAAGAATGGCTACTCCTTAGGCAGAGCAGCCCCACATACTCTTTTTTTGAGATGGAGTCTCACTCTGTCACCCAAGCTGGAGTGCAGTGGCATGATCTTGGCTAATCTCAACTTCTGCCTCCCAGGTTCAAGTGATTCTTCCACCTCAGCCTCCTGAGTAGCTGGGACTATAGGTGCCCACCACTATGACTGGTTAATTTTTGTATTTTTGGTAGAGATGGAATTTTGTCATGTTGGTGAGGTTGGTCTTGAACTCCTGACCTCAGGTGATCTGCCTGCCTCCGCCCCCCAAAGTGCTGGGATTACAGACATGAGTCACCGTGCCCAGCAAAACAGTCTTCTTATACCCCTTTGTTGAGGCTGGGAATGGGGTCAGACTTAACGAATCACTGGAACCTGGGAGACCAGGGGTTGCAGTAAGCCGAGATTGTGCCATTGCACTCTAGCCTGGGCCACAGAGCCAGACCCTGTCTCAAAAAAAACACAAACCTCTGCCTGATCTGGCTTTCCAGCCTGAAAAATGGTGATAACAAAACAATCCACCTTATACCATAGCTGTGAAAATTAAATGAGGTAAGTGATAGAAACACAGAGAAATACCCAATCAGCATTTTTTACAAAATGTCTCCTTGAGGGCTGGGTGCAGTGGCTCATGTCTATAATCCTAGCACTTTGGGAGGCTGAGGTGGGAGGATAACTTGAGCCCAGGAGTTTGAGACTACCCTGGGCAACACAGTGAGACCCTATCTCTAAAACAATTTGTTTTTAAAGTCTCCTTGAAACATCAGCTTTTTCATTGTTCTTCTCATCATGCCACCCTTTTCTCTGCCCCCGATTTCTAGTCCTTTCGTGTTGGTTCTTCTGACCTGATCAGTTGGGTGCTGTTGGGGCCTCCGACACAAGATGCGGGCTGAAGCCTGGCCCATTGTACCGCCCAGGGTCACTTCAGTCTGAGCGAGGCTGCTGAGAGCTCCCATGGGGCCTGGTCCATGAAGCTCTTCGTGTAGCAAGCCCAGCACATGCACCTTCCCCACTGGGGAGCCGTCACCTAGAGAAGGACAAGAAACACAGGATAGTAGGGAACATTCAGATTGGTGGCCTGGGATAAACTGTGTAGAGAAAAGGACAGAGGCCCACATTCTATCACAGTGCTGCCAAAATCCTGACTTCCCTTGGCCAATCTCACTGCGGTGCTCTGAACCTTCTCCAGCCCATACCTTAATATACTCTATTATCCAAATGTAAACCTGATCAAGACACCACTCTAACTCCAATCCTTTAGCAGCTCCTCAGCCTTCAGGATGGAATGAACACTTTCAGCAGGTGTGTCCACTAACTTTCCAGCCTCATCTCTTACACATGGAAATACTTACAGTTTCTGGAACTTCCCAAGATCTCAGTCAGTGCCTTCAACTTTCTCCCTCCCCTTTTGGGAGCATTAAGAGTGTGTCAGGCACTATGCTAAACGCTTTAACACAATGTTTGGATCCTTACCAGGTGCAGCAATGAGAGATCAAGCAACTTAATACAAAGCTGGGCTTCTGCCTCCTAAGTCCATTTGAGTACCTACAGTGCATTTTTAGGTCAAACCATATAAAATTGATGATATTTGATTAATTTTTTTTTGACATGAAGTCTTTCATCTCACTGCAGTGCAGTAGCACTATTTCGGCTCACTGTGACCTCTGCCTCCCAGGTTCAAGTGATTCTTCTGCCTCAGCCTCCTGAGTAGCTAGGATTACAGGTGTGCACCACTACCCCTGGCTATTTTTTAGTATTTTTAGTAGGACGGGGGTTTCACCATGTTGGGCAGACTGGTCTCCAACTCCTCACCTCAAGTGATCCATCTGCCTTGACCTCCCCAAGTGCTAGGATCATAGGCATGAGTCACTATGCCCAGCTAATATTTGACAATTTTGTGACCTACGAAATGGCAATTTAGGGCGCAAGCACAGGCACCGCTGCCTCAGGCAGCTCCCAGGCTCCTCACCTGTGCACTGCCAAAAAAAGAAACGGCAACATAGTGGTTCATCCTAATACTTCCCCTGTATCTTCCCCCATTTACAGAGAAAAAGTGAAGCAATGGGAAATCAAGCAACTTAATATGAAGCTGGGCATCTGACTCCTAAGTCCATTTGAGTACCCACAGTGCCCTTGAGAGCTAGTCCCAGTGCCCCTGCCCAGCAAAATTTGCCTGGCTAACCTCTTGCTCTTCAAAACTACCCTTCTTTAAGGTATCCTGTGCATGTCCTATATCACTGTGGCCTTTAACAAACCATCTTGTTTACGTATCTCCATCTTTTATGGGACTTTGAGCTCCTGGAAGGCAAGGATCCAGCTATAGTTAGTCTTTATTTTGCCATCATCTAGAATTGTACCTGACACATTGTATGTATATACTATTTGTTAAATAAATAAATGAGTGAAGGAAACAAGTAAATAAAAAAAAAGAACTTGAAGGAAAAAAAAAAAAGCAAATGGTAGATGGCATTACAGAGAAGTAAACAAACAGACAAAAGGTCAAAAAGATGAAAAAAGGTCTGACTGAAAAATCCAGATGTTTCTTCTAGGGTGGAAAGGAAAAGGGGCACACTCCTTGGCAGAGGGAAAAGTATGAGGGGAAACAATGAAGGAGGAGTCTCACCAGGAGGACAGGAGTCCTGATAGCTCACTGCATGCAGGGTCTGGCAGAGTGTGGCACAGGGAAGATGAAGCAACAGCCAGCTGAGTGAATCGAGAGCAATGGTGACAGGACCAAGATCTGTCCTCTTGCACATGGCTCTCAAGGCTCCCAGTGGTCCCCCAGGAAGGGCCTCCCCAGTTTTTGACCAGTTGAGAGGGTCTCTGAAGAAGTCATGGTAAACCAGCCTGCAAAGGGAAAACAGGAGACAGCATAAGATTGTCCCTTCCCCCCAGAGGATCAGAAATTTCATCTTCTGATCTTCGTGGCTCTGTTTTCTCAATTTTCATGAACATCCTTAATATTAGTAAAAGGTAATTACTGAAATAATATAGTGATTGAGAGCACAGATTTTGGTGTCTGACAGCCTGAGCTCCAAGCTTGGCTTTGCTACTTGGCCAAAGTCAGCTAACTGGTAAGTTACTTTCTAAGACTGTTGTTTCATTGGTAAAATGGAGATGCCAAACTCAAAGCATTCAGCACAGTGCTTGACACATACTATATGCTTGATAAATGCCAATTATTACCATTATCAAGTATTTCCTGAGGGGGCACCTAATTTTTTTTTTTGAGATGGAGTTTCTCTCTTGTTGCCCAGGCTGGATTGCAATGGAGCAATCTTGGCTCACAGCAACCTCTGCCTCCCAGGTTCAAGCGATTCCCCTGCCTCAGCCCCTCAAAGTAGATGGGATTACAGGCACAACCCATCACATCCAGCTAATTTTTGCATATTTAGTAGAGATGGAGTTTCTCCACATTGGTCAGGCTGGTCTCAAACTCCTGACCTCAGGTGATCCACCTGCCTTGTCCTCCCAAAGTGCTGGGATTACAGGTGTGAGCCACCGTGCCCGGCCCTAATTTATCACTATGGTTAAATAAAGAGAAAGCAGAGGACATGAGACTTGGTTCCTGCCTGTAGAACAGCTTAAAGAAAGTCAAGAATTAAGTCATGGAATACCAACTACAAAAAAAGAAATCATAATAACAGCTCAGGAAAGGGAGACTGGCATAGGCTAGAAATCCTGGGAAAGCTTTGTAGTAGCAGAACTTTTTTTCCAGATCCCTCTTTTCTATTTTCTGGTTTTCTTGTAGAATGCCAACTTAACCTACACCACCACCTCTATCACAACAATGGCTGATACAAAACTAGGAGCTCAACAATAGATGTAAACTACTATTTTTATCCACTGAGTTGCCCTGACTAGGAAGTAAAGAGCATCCTACTAATGATTCTTAATGTCTCCTGATCAGGCATGGGGCTGGATTTAGGTATTTCCTTATCTCTATACTTTCTTCTCCCCCACATTGGTCAATAAATCCTGGATATTCTACCCACTAAAGTCCTTAACATTTGTTCTAAACTTTCCATCGCTACTGCCAATTCCTTAAGCCAGGCCTCTATTACTTCCTACCATTATTCCCTAAAATTCGTTAGGGAGATGTGTCTTATTCACTGCTGTCTCCAGTATCTTGTATAGCACGTAGTTTACGGTTGGTGCTCAGTACACATGGACCTTAATGAGCCAACCTGGATTAAGAAATTACTACAATAGCCTTCTCACAAGTTCTCCCAGTCTCCAGGCTATTTCTCTCTCAACTTCTATGATCTTTCCTTTGGATTCCCCAAATACTCATCATTCCTCTTACTAATTCTTGTGTCCTTAAAGACCCATATCCGTTTCTTAAATGAATATTTAAGAAACTGCCACTATATACCAGGTTCTGCGCTTGTTGTAAACAAATTTCTTTAGCAAAAGAGGTCTCAAATCTAATCAAATCTCTTCCAACTTGTACTTACCGATTGTTGATATCAGAGTCAAAACCTTCACGAAACTCTTCCTCGCTTACTTCACAGCCCAAGATATGCACTTGCTCCCCACTAAGGTAGAGATGAGGGGGGACTGTCAGAGTGGGCACAGGATCCCTATCCAGGGTAGGCCGGGGAGACACCATGGGATACTCACCATAGGGCAGATTTCTTGACAAGCGCCTTCAAGAGACTGCGCCCCTCCCACTCCACGGAATCTGCAGAGCGAGAGACGAATAAAGTGTGAGAGCGACGGATGGAGAGCCCGTCGCGATCTCCACACTTAGCCTGTGACCCATGGCCCTTCCTCCCCACTTCCGTCCCCTCAGCCAGGTCCAGAACCCCCCAGTGCCTCTGGCTCTCACCCCGAAGCAGCACCAGGCCACCCAGAGCCAACAGCGAGTCCAACATCTCCAACTTGCGTCAGGTCCCTGCTCTGGCGCCCTCTGATAGCGTCATAACCTACTGTCCCAACCCTGGGGTGAAAGGGGCGGGGCATTCAGGCGTCCTCCCACCATTGAGACCTAACAGTTCTGGAGAGGCGATTATGTTCAATATTCCCAGGGGGACGCCCCTCCCTGAGCCTTGGCGCACAGTCGTAGGTACAACGACCCGGTCTACATTTTCACTGTGACCGGGGTGGGAAAGAGCAATTGGGGCAGTTGTCAGTGGGAGGAAGAAGGGAAGCCACAAGCCCCCCCGCGAGGGCCCTAACCGAGGGGCCAAGTGATGTCACTCCGCCCCGCCCACGCAGTTTGAGGCGGGACCTGCTTTGCCTCAGGCCCCTCCCTGTGGACACCTTCCGCGCGTGCGCAATACTGCAGCCTCGTTCGGAAAGCTCCTGGCGTCCCTTATACCTACCCCCAGAGACCGCGTAGGGGGAACTTAGTCCTGGTGAAGCGAATACACGTCACCACCGGAAGTAGTGTCAAAGGGGAAGAGGAGGGGGAAGACGGGAGGAGGGAGTCCTTTGGGCGGTAAAATGGCGCCTGTCAGAGTGGGAAACCCAGCTGCAGAGGCTGCAGCCCCGCTCCCCAGGGGCTAAAGGACCCCCCGAGCTCGGGGAGGGGGAGGCCGCTCCGGCCCAGCGCTCCGCGCCCTTCGGCTCCCCCTCCCCCTCCCCCTCCTTCTCTGCTCCGCTCTGCAGGCCTGTTCTCCGTTGCGGCCCTTAGCGCGCCGCTGCCCCCGCCTGCTCCGTTCCTGCGGGTAGCCCCCTAGCGCGCCTGCGCAGCGGGCCACTCTCCGCTTTTTCCCCTTCCCCTCCCCCTCCCTTTTCCCTCCCTCCCTTTTCCTTGGCCCCCTCCCCCATTGCCCCCTCCCCCAATTATCCTTTCCCTTCTCTTCTGGTCTCGGAGGACCCCATCCTAGCCCAACCTGTCTCGGCCGGCAACCTCCCCGAAGCCGTGGGTGCCACTCCCAGCCCATGTGGGCCCCCGCGGGCTGCCCACGCCTATCCCCCAGCTCCCGGTTCCGCTGGGCTTTTCCTTAGCCCGCGGTGGCTTTCTGAGCCGCCCGCTCCGTGCCCCTCTCTGCAGCCTCTCCTGCAACTCGGGGCCCCCGTTCCCCCTCCCGGCGGCGGGGGGGCTGCCCCCGGGGGGCTGGCGGAGCTGGGCCGCGGGGGCCCCGGGGCCGGCGGTGCCGGGGTCGTCGGGATGATGCGGACGCAGTGTCTGCTGGGGCTGCGCACGTTCGTGGCCTTCGCCGCCAAGCTCTGGAGCTTCTTCATTTACCTTTTGCGGAGGCAGATCCGCACGGTGAGCCTGGGTGGGCGCTGGCGGTGTTGGGGACCTCTGTCCGCGGTGCTCACGGGTTTTCAGTGTGTCGGGCCTCTGTTTGGGCCTAGGAAGGGAGTCCTGGCAGGGGCTTTTCTCGCCAGAGAATTAGGGAACCCTAAGCGGGGCTTGGGCTGGGGAGGAGGGAGACCCTTGTAATAGAACGAAGACCTTGGGGGTTTTGATGGGGCTACATGGGACAGGATTTGGCAACTCTTGGGGGCTAAGGTGGTGGGTGGGGCGCTCTTTAAGAAAGCGGGAGTTGCTAAAGAAACCCAGAGGCGCGGAACACCTGTTTGATGGCAGCCAGATCTGTTGATGTGGGCTGGTGAAAGACCCTATTTGGAACCTCAGTGTGTGTTTAGTCCCATAACAAGGCAGAGACCGACTCGTGTGTCAAGGATGGAGGTGGGTGTGAGTGCATATGTTACAAACAGGGACTGGAACTTGGGAAAACCCTGGGTGTGAAGGAGAAACCCCTGCTGTTCCCATTAAGAGAACTCCAAAAAGGCTGTGAAAATGTATTTCATAGTGTGAATATTGGTATCTGGATTTCAGGACTAAAGCAGATGTTTTAATGATGGGCCTCTTTAATTGTGGGAGGGAGTTCAGGGTGGGTGCTGTGCCCACCATTAAAGTCTGGGTGTCCCTGTCAGAGGGCAGCGTTGGTCAGTTGTAGGGCTTGAATCTGAGGGCATGTGTGCTTCTCCAGGAGACCCTAGCATTCTGAGGGTTACTGTCTGGATGTACCCAAACATCTCTGGGTTCCTTTCCCCTTAGCTTTTCTCCAAGGTCAGAGCTCCTTCAGCTAACAGCACCTAATGAATATGTTCTTGTGGTCTCATCACCACCAGGGAGAATCCTCGGAAAGAGTGTGGGGAGCATTTAGTAAGCAGGGTCAGAGGTTCTGGCCTGTACTTTGGTCTGTACTCCTTAGCATACCTCAATACAGTTTGAAAGAATAAAACTAGGTTGGGGTGACCTGGGGTCCAGGAAATTTCCAGAAAGCCCTGAGTGGTAGTGGTGGTTGACTTAACTGATTTGGGAGAATGGGTCTGGCCTTGGGTTCATTCTCTCCTTTACCAGTCTACTTCCACTTCCTGATTTAGGGTTCGAACAGTTCAGGATGGTTGTGGCTCTAGGCAGCAGCGCTATTCCCCTGAGACAAGAGCTAGGAGCCAAGAAAATAGGGTCATAGCTGCAGAGATCTGTGTGGGCTTAGCTCCTGGGGTTTTCTTTTCTGAGACAGAGTCTCCCTCTTTCACCCAGGCTGGAGTGCAGTGTGGCACGATCTTGGCTCACTGCAACCTCCACCTCTTGGGTTCAAGTGATTCTCCTGCTTCAGCCTCCTGAGTAGCTGGGATTACAGGTGCCCACCACCACACCTGGCTAATTTTTTGTATGTTTAGTAGAGATGGGGTTTCACCATGTTGGCTAGGCTGGTCTAGAACTCCTGACCTCAAGTGATCCATCTGCCTTGGCCTCCTAAAGTACTTAGATTGAGCCACTGTGCCTGGCCTCCTGGGTTTTTTTTTTTTTTAATGGGTTGACTGCTTTTTCTCTGTGACCTTCTCGCTCTAACACATCAGTTTTCTGGGCACATGGAGTGGTGCTTCAGCTCATCCACAGGTTAGTTATTTCCAGAATTCCTCTCTTTTGGGCAGCACTGACTCCACAGCCTTTTGTCCTCCCCTCCCATCCAATCTGGTTTCTTTCCCCACCCCCTTTCTGGCAGATGCTTGGAGCATTCCCTACATGCCCAGCATATGCAACCCGAGATAGCAAGGCTGGACACCCGAGCTGTTTCAGACCTCATCATGGCCCAGGGAGAAAAGAAGGGCAGATCTTGACTGACAGGGAGCCCTTTGGTTTACAAGGGAGAGCCTGGTTCTTGTGTGCCTTGGGCCCTAGGGATGCACTGAGGAGGGTTTCTGCCTTTGAGGAAAAGTGTGGAGGAGGGAATTGCCAGGCTTTGCATGGGGTGATTTGTGTATTGGGAAATAGGAGTCCCTAAGGAAAGCTTGGAGAAGCAGAGCTGGAAGGCCGAGGTAGTGACGTCCTTGTCCCTTATTCACCTCTCACTTACAGCCCTGAGTTCACTCTGGCCTCCAAACCCTGCCAGTCAGCCTGGGAGGGGCTATCCAGTGTTCTTTGCCTCACTCTGGGTACCAGGATAAGGAGGCTGTTCAGAGGGCTGAGGTTCTCTGAACTTGTGACTTGGCTAGGAGAGACAGAAGTGGACAGGTGGCTGGTTAAAATAGGCGTGGTGGCTTCTAGCCAGGGGAACTTAGTTGACCTGACAACCTCTGGATTCCCTCATTCTATATTCCCATTAAAGACCCAGGGATCTCCTCCCCTGACTCTTACTTCCTGTGCACTAGGGAATCTGAGGCTGTTAGTTTCCAATGTGAAATGATGATAGTTGCTACAAATAATTCTTGGGGTGAAGGTTGTGTTGCGGGGGCAGGTCGTGTGTTTCTTTGTTCAGTGTAGCAGGATAATATCATAGTTAGGAGGGCAGGGTTGACCGGGTGTGGTGGCTCATGCCTGTAATCCCAGCACTTTGGGAGGCTGAGGCAGGTGGATCATGAGGTCAGAAGTTCTAGACCAGCATGGCCAATATGGTGAAACCCTATCTCTACTAAAAATACAAAAATGAGCTGGGCATGGTGGTGGACACTTGTAGTACCAGTTGCTTGGGAGGCTGAAGCAGGTGAATCACTTGAACCTGGGAGGCAGAGGTTGCAGTGAGCCGAGATCATGCCAATGTACTCCAGCCTGAGCAACAGAGCAAGACTGTCTTTAAAAAAATATCCAAAAACAAAAACAAAAAAGAGGGCAGGATCTTGGGTTGGACTGCATTGGTACAATGCTGGTTCTATCACTTCATTGATTCTACTAATATTAACTAACCACCTTTGCTACAGTGTTCTAGGCACTGGGAATACAGCCATGATCTAGATAAAATCATGTTCTCATAGAGTTTTCGTTTTAATCAGGGAGACCTAGCTGTGTAGCCTCGGTTTCTTTACCTTAAAACAGGGATAATAGTAGTATCAGGGTTGTTTTGAGGATTCAATGAAATAATCCTAAGTCACATACCCAGTACCTGTGGTAAATGTTCAGTCTGTGCTACCTGTTACTGTTACTGAGGAAGACTTCCTTGTCAAGGGTTCCAATCCTCTTTTGTGCCATTTCTAGGTAATTCAGTACCAAACTGTTCGATATGATATCCTACCCTTATCTCCTGTGTCCCGGAATCGGCTAGGTAAGTATGTGTTGGGGAGCCTCCTTTAAGGTGAAATGGGGGCCAGCTCTGGGCCAGAGGTTTGTCAATATTATTCCTTCTCATTGTGGTTCAGCCCAGGTGAAGAGGAAGATCCTGGTGCTGGATCTGGATGAGACACTTATTCACTCCCACCATGATGGGGTCCTGAGGCCCACAGTCCGGCCTGGAACACCTCCTGACTTCATCCTTAAGGTGTGTGTGGTGGTGGGGAGTGATGAAATGGTTTCATCTGTTACTCTGCCCAGACCTGTACTCCCTTTCCCAGTCCCAGAGTTTCCATCCCCTGGCACTGGTGTCAGCCTGGAGGAGGGAAGCAGGTGGGTGAGGTGTTTTCCAGGCTTCGGTTGTGGTGTTCAGGACTTCCCCCAGCCCATCTTGTTCCTCTATAGGTGGTAATAGACAAACATCCTGTCCGGTTTTTTGTACATAAGAGGCCTCATGTGGATTTCTTCTTGGAAGTGGTGAGTTGGGGGAGCTAAAGGGAGCTCTGTGATGAAGGAATGGTTTTAGGGTTCTGGGAATTCAGAGGATTTGGAGAAAAGGATGAGGAGAAATGGGTCAGAGCAGTTTTTGAGAGGGGAGGCTGTGGGATGTAGGGGAGTGGCTTTCAGTACTTGGGGTTCATTTGTTGCGCTGATGTAACTCTTCCACAGGCTTCTTTCTCTCTTGTTCTTTCATTTCCAAATCTTAAGAGTGTAGGATGCCTAACACTGAGTTTGGAGGTTTGGATTGGGGGTTCAGAATTTTGTGTCCTCAGAGACATCTGATGTCGATGGAAGGCCTTATGCTGTTGCCCTTCTGAAAGATAACTATGTCTAAAAGAATGATCACCTTGTATGGCTTCGTCCTCTCCCCCAATCTATTTCAGGTGAGCCAGTGGTACGAGCTGGTGGTGTTTACAGCAAGCATGGAGATCTATGGCTCTGCTGTGGCAGATAAACTGGACAATAGCAGAAGCATCCTCAAGAGGCGATACTATAGACAGGTAAGCTAGAATCCCAGTCTAAGAGTGTGGCTTGGGAGGGAGGCCACCAGGGAGGGATCTGGGTTTGAGGAAGTGATCCTGGAGAGGGTGTGGGGGAGGCCTATTACATAATCCCCTGTCCTCCAGCACTGCACTTTGGAGTTGGGCAGCTACATCAAGGACCTCTCTGTGGTCCACAGTGACCTCTCCAGCATTGTGATCCTGGATAACTCCCCAGGGGCTTACAGGAGCCATCCAGGTATGGGGAAGGGGGTGAGTCTGGCAGGACCAGAACATGGTTCTGAGAAGGTATTTTTGCAGGAGACCTGGGCCTTGGTCCCTGAGAGCTAGGATTCCCCTAGTTTATCCCTAGTTTGCTATAAGTCCAAATGCAAGTTATTTTCCTATTTCAAATGAGATATCATATATGTCCATTTCATAAGTCAGATTTCTCATATCATTTTTTTCTTTTTAAAAATTTATTTATTTTTTGAGATAGGGTCTTACTCTTTTGCCCAGGCTGGAATGCAGTGTCATGATCATAGCTCACTTACTGCAGCCTTGTTCTCCCAGATTTCTCATATCATTTTTTTCTTTTTTAAAATTTATTTATTTTTTGAGATAGAGTCTTACTCTGTTGCCCAGGCTGGAGTGCGGTGTCATAATCATAGCTCACTCACTGTGGCCTTGTTCTCCCAGGCTCAAGCGATCCTTCTGCCTCAGCCTTCTCAGTAGTTGGGACTATAGGTGTGTACCACCATGCCAAGCTAATTTTTTTATTTTTATTTTTATTTTTGAGATGGAATCTTGCACTGTTGCCCAGGCTGGTGTGCAGTGGTGTGATCTCAGCTCCCTGCAACCTCCACCTCCCGGGTTCAAGCGATACTCCTGCCTTAGCCTCTTGAGTAGCTGGGAGTATAAGTGCCCACCACCACACCCAGCTAATTTTTTGTATTTTTTTAAGTAGAAGCAGGGTTTCACCATGTTGGTCAGGCTGGTCTCAAACTCCTGACCTCGTGATTTGCTCACCTGGGTCTCCCAAAGTGCTGGGATTCCAGGCGTGAAACACCACACCCAGCCAATTTTTTGAGTTTTAGTAGAGATGAGATCTCGTTATGTTGCCCAGGGTGGACTCAAACTCCTGAGCTCAAGTGATCTTCCCATCTTGGCCTCTCAAAGTATTAGGATTACAGGTGTGAGCCACTGTGTCAGGCCAAGTGTGTTTCAAGTGAGGCACAATGGCAATAAGTTTGACTAGAAGCATCAATAAGTATGAGATCTGGTGATTAAAACTTGATTTTAGGCTGGGCGTGGTGGCTTGCGCCTCTTTTCATCAGCACTTTGGGAGGCTGAGTTGGGCGGATCACCAGAGGTCAGGAGTTCCAAACCAGCCTGGCCAACATGGTGAAATCCTATCTCTACTAAAAATACAAAAATTAGCCAGGTGTGGTGGCAGGCATCTGTAATCCCAGCTACCTGGAAGACTGAGGTAGGAGAATTGCTTAAACCCAGGAGGTGGGGGTTGCAGTTCATTGTGATTGCGCCATTGCACTCCAGCCTGGTGGAGAAGAGTGAGACTGAAGTCTTACAAAAAAAAAAAAAAAAAAAAAACCTTAATTTTATTTTGGAGTATAAATCAGGAAAGTTTTACTTAGGTTGTTGACTTCCGGTAGTGGGAGGTATATATTTTTAAATAATAATTCCTCCTTCTCTACAGTAAGAGAAAAACACCCAGTCTCTCTTCAATTCTGTTTCTTCTCTTCTGCATTTTCACCTACCTACCCTAGACAATGCCATCCCCATCAAATCCTGGTTCAGTGACCCCAGCGACACAGCCCTTCTCAACCTGCTCCCGATGCTGGATGCCCTCAGGTAAGGGAAGTGGGCTCTGGACCCTTGGATTTCTGAGGAAAGGAGGAGGTGGGAGATCCTAAGAGGGAATAAAAAACATTTGTCCTGTTTTACTTAGCTCTCTTCCCTTAAGAATTTAACATTTGGACCCAGGTCTTCTTACGTCAAAGCTCATCACTTTACCTAGTAGGCTGTGGGCAAATTGGACCTACCTAATCATGTGAATATGGTGATAATGTATGCCCCACCCCTCCAATGATGCATCTTATATTAGTGTTATGAGGGTATCAATATAAGGAGCTCTACCTATGCAAGTTATTGTCGTTGTCATCCTAGGTTCACTGCTGATGTCCGTTCCGTGCTGAGCCGAAACCTTCACCAACATAGGCTCTGGTGACAGCTGCTCCCCCTCCACCTGAGTTGGGGTGGGGGGGAAAGGGAGGGCTAGCCCTTGGGATGCCGTCTGATACCCTGTCCAATGTGAGGACTGCCTGGGCAGGGTCTGCCCGTCCCACCCCTCGCTGCCCTTGGGAGCTCTACACTCCACTTGGAGTCTGGATGGACACATGGGCTGGGAGCTCTGAAGCAGCCTCACTCTAACTTCGTGTTCACACTCCGTGGAAACCCCAGATTGGGACATAGGCGGAGGCCTAGGAGAGCTGAAACAGTGTTTGTGATGGAGAGGCAGGACTGGCCAGAGTGACAGACATACGGTGATCCAGGAGACTCAAAGAGAAGCCAAGTCAGCTTTGTTGTGATTTGATTTTTTTTAAACTCTTGTACAAAACTGATCTAATTCTTCACTCCTGCTCCAAGGGCTGGGCTGTGGGTGGGATACGGGGATTTTGGGCCACTGGTTTTTCCCTCAATTTGTCCCCCCTTTACTCTCGTATTTTTCTCTCCTTAGACTCCCTCAGACCTGTAACCAGCTTTGTCTTTTTTCCTTTCCTCTCTTTTAAACCATGCATTATAACTTTGAAACCAAAGCGGCCCTTAGGTCCTTCTCTGGGGTTTTGGGAAGTGAGGGGAGGGCACTTTATTCACATGCACCCTGTCTCCAGAGCAGTGGGCGAAGAGCCTACTGCTGGACTCGAGGGCACGGGGAAAGGTGCTGTTGAGCATGAGGATACAATAGTGAATGTGGACACCAGATGCTTTGGCGGGAAGGGCCGAGTGACAGGATGGGCGCACTGGTGTGGAGTGGAAGGATACCTTTGGAGCAGTAGGCTATTGAAGGCCGAAAGGAGAAACCTGGGCGGCCAAAGGGCGTAGAGCTAGAGAAACGTCGGGCTTCGATGGGAGCACTGATATGGACAGACTACGCGGGCGCTGCCCCCTAGGGCCGCCTCGACCTCCGCTCTCGGAAGAGGGGCCCCTCCCCGACGTTGCTCAGCTGGCCCCGCCCCCCCAGCCGGCCCTACTTTCCGCCCCCCCAGCCGGCCCTACTTTCCGCACCCGCCACGTGACGCTCCGCCCTCTCTGAGATCACATGATTTCACTCAAACTGCGATGTTCCTCCGCGCTGGCGTAGTCCTTACCTCTTGGACCTCCTCTCCAGTCCCTATTGGTCTACTCATTCCTGGTACTTAAGCGTTCTGTACATCTCTCCAAACATCCGTTTTCTTTTTGAACTCTTATTTGTGGAGATCATCTCTGTCCCTTGGGTACTACTTTGTTTTGGTGTCAACGGCCGCCTTCAGCGTAGCAACGCGTTTTGTGAATAGCCGACCTTGTAATTGTCTCTGCTGTTCCTCTACGTTATTTCCGAAAGGAACTTGGGAAACCAAGTCTCATGGTTATTACCATCTCATACTCCTCTTGAGCCCCAGCTTCCTTGAGGGGGAGGTTGGGGAATAGGTTTAGAGGTATTTTCAATGAGTGAAAACCAACCGTCTTTGCTACGTCTTCTGCGTATCCCACACATTAATTCCAAAGCGATTACGCTAATGGCGTGAGGGGGAGGGTCAGTGGGTGTTGCTACGCTAGCAGCGTTAGTGCCGATGAGGTAGTGGCGTATCTTAACGGGGGGGCCGTCCTGTTAGTCGGGGGCGGGGTTGGTGAATAGGGAAGTGGCGCAAATTCGTGGATCGCTCCGCTGATTCCGCCCGCCCGTCGCCACTGTTGCCGCCGTCCCCCGTCCGGCCCCCCCCTCCCGGGTTCCCTCAGCCCAGCCCGGTCCAGCCCGGTTCTCGGGAGGATGAAGTTCGTGTACAAAGAAGAGCATCCATTCGAGAAGCGCCGCTCTGAGGGCGAGAAGATCCGAAAGAAATACCCGGACCGGGTGCCGGTGAGGACAGTAGCCTGGGCGGAGGGCGCGGGACGCTTACGCTGACGCCACAGCCTGGCCTTGGATTTGGGACGGGCAGCGGGAGGATCAGGCTGCTGGCTATGGCGGGATTGGAAGCGACCCTGAAACTGCTGTCCCTGGGACCGAGGATGAAAGGGGTGGGGTAGTGGTGGACCTGGAGTAGAGAGGGATGTAGACAGGAGAGAGAAACCTTGGCATTTGTGAGTGGAGGCCTTAAGAGAGTTTGACAGCCTGAGCTTCAAGTGGTCATCCCCCCAGCTAGTTGAGGTTGTGAGATTGAAGCACTAGTCGGCCCAGACAAGTCATCTCCATCTGATTAAGATAGTTGTTTATGGTGACGCCCTATTCGGGGGATGGATCCTGGCTATTTAAATGAACTCCAGTCAGTAAGGTCAGGATCTCTGGGACTCAGGGCTGCACCGCGTGTGCAAAGACAGATGAGTCTGGGGTAGATTTAGGTGCAAGGGTTATTGTTACTTGAGTTCTTGACAGGTGCAGCTGCGGGGCTGCATTCCTCTGCCTCCTCATTTTCATCCTCTCTTTATCAGGTGATAGTAGAAAAGGCTCCCAAAGCTCGGATAGGAGACCTGGACAAAAAGAAATACCTGGTGCCTTCTGATCTCACAGGTGGGAACCTGACCCAAGACCCAGGCTTGCTTCCTGTGGGTGGGAGTGCAGTCTCTGCAGGAGGAGGCTCCACCTAGCAGCTGTTCTTTTGAGGGCATTTTTGACCTCTCTGACTTTCTCACACCTTGTATCTTTTGCAGTTGGTCAGTTCTACTTCTTGATCCGGAAGCGAATTCATCTCCGAGCTGAGGATGCCTTGTTTTTCTTTGTCAACAATGTCATTCCACCCACCAGTGCCACAATGGGTCAACTTTACCAGGTACGGTGACTTGGAAGTGGTGGAGGCTTTGGAGAAGCCTCTGGAAGAGCGTGAGCGGAAGAAAGTGTTGTTACATCAGTAGTTTTGCACTAGCTTCCTGACTTGCCTTAAAATTTCATGATAGCAGTGGGTTGGGGGTTTGAACAGAACAGTAGGAGTAGAGAGACGCAAAGAGAACAGTGAGCTAGAGGAACTTTCTGATCAGGACTCTTCCCAGTCCTCCTCCCCTTTCCAGAGCAGCAGACAACCGTTTAAGGTCTTTTTGCCCAGGACTGCAGAGATTATACTGCTTATGCTAGTCCTTGGAGTCAGTGAAGGAGTCGGGCACTGGTTTGTGGTTCTAGAAGACCATAAACTGGTTTGGGTGGTGGTTGGTTGAAGTAAGTTAGGAGCCCAGTTGCTGAACAGTTTTCTGCTTTCATCTCAGGAACACCATGAAGAAGACTTCTTTCTGTACATTGCCTATAGTGACGAAAGTGTCTACGGTCTGTGAAGCTGCTGCCCTTGAGCTGGAGGGGGCTCTCATTCTACAAAGAGAGAGGTGGCCCCCCTTTCTTGACTTCTTCCTCCTTCAAGCTCAAATACCACCTCCCTTATTCAGGACCGGCACTTCTTAATGTTTGAGGCTCTCTCTCCAGCCTCTCTTAGGAGGGGTAATGGTGGAGTTGGCATCTTGTACCTCTCCCTTCTCCTTTTTTCCCCTTTCTCTGCCGGCCTTTCCCATTCTGCTTTAGACTCTTGATTGTCAGTCTCTGTCACATCTAGTGATTGTTTTGGTTTCTGTTCCCTTTCTGACTGCCCAAGGGGCTCAAAACCCCAGCAATCCCTTCCTTTCACTACCTTCTTTTTTGGGGGTAGTTGGAAGGGACTGAAATTGTCGGGGGAAGGTAAGAGGCACATCAATAAAGAAGAAACCACCAAGCTGAGCTGAATTTTGCCTTGTGTTGCTCCCCTCCTCCCGCTGTTTTTTAGTCTTTCCAAGGCGTCAGTGGGTTTCAGTGGTGGGGAAAGAAGAGTAATGGGTACAAGCTGGAGGGATAGAAGTATATTTTGATTTATTCTGTTCATGTTGAGCTTTTCCCGGTCTGCAAAGAGAGGGTGATTTTGTTGTAATGGAATGGAATACTGAGTATCATTTCATAAAACTTTAGTTTTATGACACATATGTGAAACTAAATGTTAAATATGCTTATGTAAAAAATACTGTTCGAAAGTACCTGCTTTAGGTGGACATTTATTAGAACATTTTAATTAAGATATTTTCATGTGTAGGAGCTGGTAAAACGGCTGTTCTCAGTTGTATGTCACTTGGCTAGAGTTTTGCCGGCGAGTGGGATCCGGAGGAGTGGAATCAGGGAGGGAGAAGACTGGGAGGAGGGAGCCATTATCGCCAGGAGTACTTCATCTCCCAGTGATCATTTCTCCCGCAGGCCGGAAGTGGGGCGGTCCCCCGGGGAAGAAAGAAGCTGCAGAACGAGGCAGTATGGTGGCCGAGAGTTCTAATCCCTTCTTCCTCTTCTTTCATCGTCCCGCCCAGCCTACATCTCCCAGGGGTCTGCGCGCGCATTTCCGCTCTCCCCTCCGGCTCCCGGTCTCCCCGCCACTCCCCGGGGGAGGGGAGCGGTTTGGTGCGCCTGCGTCACCCCGTGGCTTTCTGGGAATCCAAGTTCCGGAGGCTCATGCGGTCCCTTTTCCGCTGAACCCGTACGGACTACAAAACCCTTGGTGCACTGCGCCTCGGCGCCGGCGGAGGGAGGAGGGAGAGGAGGGAAGGAGGAGAGAGAAGGAGGAGGAGGGAGCAGGCGGCCGGCGGCGCGGGGGGAGGGGGCCCGGTCCGGGAGTGCGGGAGGCAGTGGTAGAGGGAGGTGGCGGCAGCGGCTAGCGGACTCGTCTCAACCGGGCTGAGGCGGACACTTCTGTGGAGCGAAGCAGTAGGAGCACCGAGCAGTAGAGGCGGCACCGGGATCCCCGGCTCCGGGGAGGGGGGCGCCGGACCGGGAGGAGGGGAGGGGGCGATGCTGGAAGCCATGGCGGAGCCCAGCCCCGAAGGTGAGCTCTAGACCGGCACGGAGCGCGGAGCCGGCGCGGGGCGGGCGAGGAATCAATTGGCAAACTTGGAGGTCGAGCCCCGAAGCCCGGCGGGGGAGTTCGGGGAGGGGGTCGGGAGCCTGGCCCTGGAGGTGGGAGAGCGAGGAGTTGAGAGACCTTGGAGAAAGAGGAGTGGGAGACTGGGCTAGGGGAGTTGGAGATCAGACGGTGTGGGGGATAGGAGCTGGAAACCCGGAGCCTCGGGGACTAGGGGCCGAAAGGGCCACCGGCAGATTGGGGCCCTGGAACTGGGAGGTTGGAGGAATCCGGTGGCCGGAGAGTTGCTAAGGGAGGACGAAGAAGAAGATGAGTGAGGGGCCCGGTAGTTCGCCGAGGTGGGGTAGTTTGTAGCGGTGGTGCCGGAGCTCCGAGTAGTTGCCGCCGGAGAATGCCCGGTGATTGTCGGAGGGGTGGGCAGGTAGTTGTGGGGAGAAGAGGGGGTCTGGGTATTGTCTACGGCAGACGGACCTGTACAGGGGGATAGTTGTGGAGCGAGCGAGCCAGGAAGCGAGGCGAACTGGGTAGTTGTAGGGGGTGGTGGGGCGGGGTGGGGGGGTTAAGACCGGCGACTTGCTTGGGGGGGTAGGGTTGGTCCGCGAGGGTTAGAGCCTGGGAGTTGCGGAGGGTGAGGGGGGCATCGGCGGCAGCAGCGGTGGCTGCTGTGAAGAGAGAGAGGGTAGCTGGTTGGGGGGAAGGTGTTGGAG